CTGTAGCCAAAGATGTTGATATGAATTTATTGGCTAGTCAAACCAACGGTTTTACTGGTGCCAAGTTAACTGAAATATGTCAACGTGCTAGTAAATTAGCAATTCGAGAACAAATTCTAAAAAAAAATAAATGTGAAGAAGAACAACAACATACAAGACAAATAGCAATGGAGTCTGATAAGCCTGATCCAGTACTAGAAATTCGGCATGATCATTTCCAAGAAGCTATTCAATTTTTGCTAAACCATCCTTATAATATCTGAAAATAAAAATTTTTGCTCAATAGTTTTGTAAAATTTCTCGATTTATTTAATTTAAAATTTTAAAATAAAAATAAAGAAATTTGATCTAAAAATCTTTTTTGTTTTTCTAACTAAATACGGATCATTTCTTATAATCATCTATAACAATGTCATCATAGTGAGATAGATTATCTACTCCAGCAAAACCACTACTTCGTCATAATGAACAAATTTCATTCTTCTGATGATAACAACATGAAAGTTCTCGATCCACGATATGTGATGAAAAATTCCAATAGAAACCTTTTCTGAAATATTCATGTATCGGTTTCTTTTTTCAAGTAATGGAATTAATCTTGAACACATTTTTCATATTATTTTAGAAACTTTTTTCTAAATTTAATCTTTCTAAAGATATAGATCAAACTTCGAACTATTATTTATACACATGTTGTTGCATATAGTTTCATCAATAAAATTTTCTTTTACGCACAATTTCGAAGTCAATATCAGTCGTTTTTCAAGAACTTTTATGTTAGTTGAACATTGAGGAGATTATTCTACATATCAAATGGCTTAACAGTGTTTTTGTGTGGACAGGAGACATCAGATTCACAATACATATGTATGTGTGTGTAGTGTACCCAGATAACATTCAGATCTATATATTTCTAATGTTATAACATGTAGAGAAATTTTCTTGTAACTAAAAGACTGGAGGTCCTTAAAGAACTGTCTTTTTGCAAAAATTTCAGATTTGATTTTAAACTGGAAAATCACGAATCTAAGAAATACTAAACGAATGAAATTCAACTGGCTCTGTTAAAAAATATATCTTTCATTCTTCTAAATGTATCATCCCTGAATTTGATAATGGCACCATACGTCCAAACAGACTGAATGAACGAATAAATCGTCTAAAAAAGATGATTTAACTCGGAATAGACCAATCACATTGCTTACTTCGTTTTTGCTGAAGCCGACG